TATATCGGACAGGGATTCGAGCTTTGTATCTGGATTTTGGAAGAGCTTTCAGCAGGCTTTAGGTACGGAGTTACACCTTAGTACTGCTTATCATCCTCAGACTGACGGACAGACTGAGAGGGTGAATCAAATTATGGAAGATATGCTTCGATCGTGTGTCCTGGATTTCAAGGGCCACTGGGAGGAATATTTACCACTTGTGCAGTTTGCTTATAACAATAGTTTCCATAAGACTATTGGGATGGCACCTTTTGAGGCGTTTTACGGTCGACCGTGTCACCTGTTTGTTGGATGGAGGTTGGAGAGAATCGATTCTTAGGTCCTGAGTTCATTAAGGATACCTCTGAAAAGATTGCTCTTATTCGAGATCGCATGCGTACTGCCCAAAGTAGGCAGAAGAGCCATGCTGATCGTCGCACTCGTGCTTTAGAGTTTCGAGTTGGAGATCAGGTTCTACTCAAAGTGTCACCTATGAAAGGTGTTATGCGCTTTGGGAAGAAAGAGAAGTTGGCACCGCAGTTTGTCGGTCCATTCATGATTACGGATTCGAGTTGGAGCTGTTGCTTATCGGTTAGCACTGCCGGATAATTTGGACCGCGTACACAACGTATTCCATGTGTCCATGTTGCGGAAATTTCTGCGAGATGAGGATCGGTATCAGCATATAGATGTTGGGGAGACTGAGTTGCAGCCGGATGTAACTTATTTGGAGCCACCATGTCGTATTGTCGATCGTCGGGATCAGATCCTTCGTAATAAGGTGATTCCTTTGGTGCGTGTTCAGTGGAGTCATCACAATGAGGCTGAGTCCACTTGGGAACGGGAGGATGTCATTCGCTTGCAGTTTCCTGAAATATTGGAAGAAGGTAAGAGCGAATTCCGAGGACGGAATTCCTTTTGTTAGGGGGGAAGAATGTAATACCCTTAATTTTTTATGTAATTATTTGTTTAATTGTGTTAATTAGAATATTTTATTATTGGTTGCATTTTATGTAATTATTTGTTTAATTGTGTTAATTAGAATTTGAATTATTTGTTAATTGTTTTGTTTTGTTTGTTTTATTTAATAATTTTAATTGTTGTCTTTTGATTGTTTGTTTAATTATTTCAATTTCGTGGGTTATTTTAATTGGATTTAGTTTAATGTTTTATTTATTGCATTAGGTTATAGTGTTAATTATATAATGGAGTTCGTATGTAGCCGACACTGTTTTACGACGTAGGTTTTGTTATGGGCCAACGGGGATTATAATTAGGGCTCTGTCTCTACACGTACAGGCAATAGGGTTTATTTTACGTCTCTATATATAAATAGAACAGTGTATGGATTTAGGGTTCTAGAATACAAAAGCATTGTCACATACCCAAGATACAGAGGGAGAATTAGAGAGCAGTTGTGAGAGAAACAGAGCAAGGCTTGAGGGGAATTTTACAGAGAGGATCAAGGAGGTTGAGTAAGGTTTAGAGACGGAGTTATAGGAGGCTAGACAGTGTTGCAGTAATTGCCGGAAAACTTAAAGACGACGCCGAGATTTCATAACTGAAATCACAGGCAAGTTCTTCTGTTTCTCCTTCTCTTTGGCTCGTGTTCTGCACACCTAGATAATCTCTAGGGTTTAACCAATCAATAACTGGAAGATATATGTTTAATATATGTCATGTGAATGATCTATTTATGTTGAAAATCAATCTGTTACAGTTCATGCATGTCTTGTTTCAGTTTTCTGTTCTTTAAACATGTTGTTCTGTTGTAACTTTAGTCTTTGGAATTACTTTTAAATCTCTGTAAATGAAGCATGGGGATGTTATTGGGATTGATATAAGATCCTTAGGTTCAGTGGTAAAGGGGAACAGAGGGTTTGGAAGAGAACTGAAATTTTCTTAAATTAAATTTCAGTGTTGTTCTTCAAGCATACTAATTTAATGGCTTCGTTTAATCTCTGTAATTGGTTTCAAATTATTGTAACAAAATCTTGGGGATGCTATTAGGCTTAAATATGACTCTTAAAATTAGTTTTTAAACCCAACAGAAAGATTGCAACTGGCCGGAGTTGGAACAGAGGTCAGAACGAAGCTGAAACGAAGGGGAAGCTCGCAGGGGGAGAGAGAGCCGGCTCTGGAATGCCAAGAGCCGGCTCCCACCTGTTTAGAGCTGGCTCCAAGGTGGTGGTAGAGCCTGCTCTATGCTGATTTAGAGCCTGCTCTATTTTTCTAGAGCAGGCTCTTTCAATTTTTGATGCGTACAGTGTTTTTTGGCTACTGTTTGGGCACTTGTGGTTCTTGAACAGTTTTAAAAATTTAATGGGCTTTTTAATAAATAATTTATGATGTAATAAAGGTCTTGAATTGCATCAAATACCCTCTTGGTATTAGTGGAATTAACAGTGCGTTATTTATCAACTTTGCGTACGGATAACGGCTGGAAGGAAATTTATTGTCTAATTTTGATTTGACAATTTAAGGGGCTATAATATGATTCTAAATTAAATTTTAGATTTATGATGAAATCTTTTATTTAATAATTTGGAATTGTGGCTTAGTGTGTGGCCCGGTGCTAAAGGGTAAAATAGAAAATAGGTATACAACTTAGTACGCCGTTACCGGATGGAAGGAACTAAATCGCTTGAATTAATTTAGCGATTTATTGGACTATAATATTATTATAGAACTGATTTTAAAAACATGATAGGGTCATTGTTATATCAAATTTGAACTATGCATGTTTTGGATGTTAATTGTTAGAATATTAAATTATTTAATGCAGTTACATGGATTAATACTGGTTTTAATTGCTAGATTGTTAAACTTCTTTCTGCAATTATTTGGTTATCAGTTTTGGATTGTAAATTACTAAAATGTTATATATATGATGTAATTTACAAGGATATGGAGGATTGTATGCACCGGTATGGGACGGTAACATACTAGGGACGGTTTAGCTCAAAACACCTAAACCTAACCCAACGGATTTAAGGAATGGATTTATAAATGTTGAATCCTAATTTTGGTTAAGACATATCAACTGCAACAAAGTTGAGTGGCTTCCTGGATTAATGGACGGTGGTTCAGTCACATCAACTGAATAAGTTGAGTGTCTAACCAGTTGGTTTGTTGTATGTCAGTTTATTAAATATTTGAACTACATACCCTGGATTTGGACGGACTTTATATGTATGTTTATGGTATCACGAGCTAAGCTTGAGACTCAGACTCGTTGGTTAGGGTACGTATATGCAGTGGATGTGTAACTGGTTATAATAGGTTAAGGTGTACCCTGTTAGGTTTAGGTACTCATGCCCACCTTTGGGTGCGTATTCGCATGTTGCCTTCTATTCAGGTTGAGACCCTTATTATAGATTAGTGAATGTCCCTTAGTGTGGATATATTTTTACATATGGACTAGATAGATATTGTGAGGTGTCTACGGTGTATCTGCGTATCGGGTCACTGTATGGATTGCAGTTAGATTAGAACTTGCTCGTGGGTCTGACCCACTCCTTCATTATTCTTTTCAGGTACAGGACGATTCCAGCCTTAGAGCTTGATCGTGCTTGTCGAGGACAGTCTCACATCCATCTGATTACGTAGGACTTCTCTCGATGTTTCTAGCATTATCTATTTTCAGTTTTCAGTTTCAGTTAAATTTTTGGTTAGGGGTCCACCAATGGATTCCCAAGTTGTAACCTTCGAGTTTTGGAGGATTGGAGTTTTATTTTTCAGTTATGCATGGAGGGTTGTATAATTAAATGTTCTTTCAGTTTTATTTCCATCTTTATTATTTCATTTTGTCGTCTGTGTTCGCTTTAAAATACTTTAATTGTTTGATATTCCCTCGGGTTTGGGCTTGGGCCTGATCAACCCGTGTCTCGGATCCGAGGGGTATCACAACTTACTCGTACAATAGCCCTATTTTACAATGATTTATGCTATTACAAATGGTTGATTATAATTGTAATCAACACGACCGATTAGAAAACCACAATTCAACGGTATAAAACCATACTCCCAATTAGACCACAAAATTGGAAAGTACAACCCAATCCATCAAGTATCAATAATTACATTACAATCCTATTTTGGAAAACGTAGTGCATGGGATCATAAAATAATTTTTATTATTTATATATATATATGAAATTTCCAACAGGGACCTCATAGAGTTATATGTGTGAAGACCCAAGTTTTCTCAAAATTGTTTTTAAAACAGAAACTTATGATTTTCTTCTTCTTCTTCTTCTTCTTCTTCTTTTTAGTTTTATTTTTATTTTTTTTATCTTATTATTATTATTATTTTTGTGTGTGTGAGAGAGAGATGTATATTTGAAGAGAATGATCAGGTGAAATGTACTTAAACGAACAGTATTCCAAAAGATGTAAGAGAAATTTGGTTTGGTTCCTCGCTTCTTTTTTCTTACTTGCAATGATACCCCTTTATTTGCAGGGCATCAAGGCATGTTGTTATCTCATTTGGTTCAATAAAGTTTATAAGATATCTTAGAGAGGTAACTATTATAATATTCTTATTAAAAATCATGCATAAACGCAATTTATTTTAGAAAGTAAAAAAGAAGGACAATTGAAATTTTATATAGTTTTCTCAAGAAAGCAAAATTTTGCTATGCTTTTTATAGGTAAAAAAAAAATAAGAAAAGAAGAAATGAACCCATTGGATTTAAAACTTACTTTTTAGTTAATCGGTTATGAAAAAATTGTGTAGTTATAGAAAGTTACGTTCTCACAAAAAATTTCTTTCTTTTCTTGTTAATCAAACTCTTAAAAAATTAAAAAAAAAAAAAAAATTTCTTTTTATTTTCTTTCTTACTATTTGGATCTAACCAAATTAAGTCTTACAAACTCTCGTAACTTCTGATACTAGTGGTTGATGTTTTTAAATGTGAAAGAGACCATTTGGGTGTCAAAATCATCGACTCTTTCTCATATTGGGGTTACACATGGAGTACATATGCATGTTATGACTCAAAGTCGTCCCAGACTATTTCATGTATATATACGTGTGCGCGAGAGAAGTGAATCATATACACATAAAATATACTTAAATCAAGATAGCATTCCCAAAGCTGTAGGAGAAATGGAGTTGGCTTGGTTCCTCATTTCTTTCTCTCTGCTTGCAACATCTTCATTTGCAGGGAATCAAGGTATGTGGTTATCTCGCATTTACAAGATTCACTTAATTGTTTGCAAGAATTTTTTATTTTATTTAGAAGGTTAAACAAATACATATTCATACCTTTATTAAAGTTCGAATATTCAACCTCTCTTTTGGCCAGTTTGTACTACTTGAACTATTGTCCATTTGATTATTATTTGCATCATTTTCTTTGATTACATATAGGATGTGTGTGTGTGTGTGTCTATATATATATATATATATATATATATATATATATATATATATATATATCTGTGCGTGTGTTGTGCATGATATTAAAGGGATATGGATTAATTAATTTACTTCTATTTCTCTATTTTGGGCAGAGGATGAGCAAGGACTTAACCATTCAGCTTTACACTTCACCTTGCATCATGTGCTTGGACATGGCTCGCCTCTAACCTCCCGGTCTCCGCTATCCTTCTCTGAGTTGCTAACTCGGGATCAAGCACGAGTTAAGCATCTCAGCTCCAGACTCACTAAGAATATAACAAGCAGTGTCACAGAAAACCCTTTTGGATCAAATCTCGTCAGCACACCCGTGAACTCTGATATGTCTGTTGGTGTGGGCCATTACTATGTCAAGGTTGGTCTTGGCACTCCACCCACTTACTATCCCGTGATTGTCGACACCGGCAGCTCCATCTCCTGGGTGCAATGCAAGCCTTGCGAGGTGCACTGCTACCAACAGGTCGTTCCCTATTTCGATCCCTCTGCATCAAGCACCTACAAAAGGTTGTCGTGCACAACACCCGAGTGCAATTCATACGATCGCGGCCATTGCACGCCCTCTAATGAGTGCTCGTACGAGACTAACTATGGGGACAATTCTTTCACTGTTGGCTATTTGAGTCAGGATTCACTAAGCCTAACACAATCGGAAACACTGCCTGGTTTTGTGTTCGGGTGTGGGCAGAACAATAGTGGGTCGTTCGGTAGGTCTGGTGGTCTTTTCGGCCTGGGTGGTAACAAGCTGTCTATAGTCTCCCAGCTGTCAACCAAATACGGAAATGGCTTCTCCTATTGCCTCCCAACAGTGAGTGGAGGCAGTGGAGGCTCGTTGTCCATAGGAAGGGATTCGCTGACAGGACCACCCTACAAGTTCACTCCAATGCTTCCTATTCAACAAGAGACGGGCTACTATTTTTTGAAGCTGTCCGCGATTGTAGTGGCGGGCAGGACACTGCAGGGAGTGTCTGAGGCCGACTACAACATTCCAACTGTAACGACCCACTCCACCACATAGTATGATATTGTCCGCTTTGAGTCTGAGCCCGCACGGTTTTGCTCTTAGGTTTCACCCCAAAAGGCCTCATACCAATTGGAGGTGACACACTTACATATAAGTACTTCACCTTTCCTCTACCCAGGCGATGTGAGATTGTGCATCCGTAACTCGCCAGTGTGGTAGCCTGACAGTGTCTCTTGCACCCGCCCACGGCACACCCGCCCACAAGGTCGTCACAATCCACCCCCCTTGGAGGCCCGACGTCCCCGTCCGCACACTTCCGGCTGGGTCAGGCTCTGATACCATTGTAACGACCCACTCCACCACATGGTATGATATTGTCCGCTTTAAGCCTGAACCCGCACGGTTTTGCTCTTAGGTTTCACCCCAAAAGGCCTCATACCAATTGGAGGTGACACACTTACATATAAGCACTTCACCTTTCCTCTACCTAGGTGATGTGGGACTGTGCACCGCACCCGTAGCTCGCCAGTGTGGTAGCCTGACAGTGTCTCTTGCACCCGCCCACGGCACACCCGCCCACAAGGTCGTCACACCAACAATACTAGATTCAGGGACGACGCTCACGTATCTGCATCCGTCGGTATATGCGGCTCTCCGCGATGAGTTCAAAAAGATCTTGTCCTCGAAGCACGAGGCTCTCCCGAGTAATTCTAATGCGTGTTATCAAGGTAGTTTGAAGGAGTTGTCAGCAGATGTGCCTGAGGTTCGGTTGGTGTTTGAAGGAGAGGCTGAACTCACTCTTGCTCAAAACATTCTTATTGATGGGAGCGGCGGCATTACTTGCTTGGCCTTCGAGACACTCGGCCCCAACTTAGCGATTGTTGGATACATTCAGCAGCAGACGTATAGTGTGGCTTATGATGTCTCCAATTCAAGATTTGGTTTTGCTGCTGGGGGCTGCAGCTAGTTATTAAAATGATGGTAACTTTATCTCATATATTAATGAATAATATGGCATCTCATGAAATGGAGTCAGGAGAACGCTCAGCAACAACCCTTGTTATATGATAGATGAAGATCCCATGATGCTAAATTGTTCTTTTTTGTGTTTTTCGGACTAAATATTGTGTGAGCTAACCATAGGCCTTTTATAGGCCGTATAATCAAATTATATAGTACTATATATTTTGCCCCTTCTGTTAAATGAGTTATAATCGACCCATCAAAGACAAGTATCTAATCAAGCGACACATCAAAACATATTAGATCAAATGGTTATGACCATTTGGTCACGGTTGAAACTGAAGACACAACCAAGTATCTAATCAAGTAACACATCAAAACACATGGATCTAACGATTATGATCATTTTAATCATGATTAAAACTGAAAATATAAGACAAATAATATCGGCAAAAAATGAGTGCGTAAATTTTTTTCCAAGAACCAAAATAAATAAGTAAATAAAAAAACAATAAAGAGAAAATAATTGAGATAAAGTTATATACAAAGCAATATAGAGTCCTTCAACTTAAAAAAAAAAAAAAGTCACAAGACTAACCACTCGGTCCACTCCCATATTTATTTATATTTTACTAAATAATAGTGCGTACTGCCTAGGATGCATAGAATAATATTTTATGATAGAACCTTCCAAAAAAATATATATATATATTTTATGATAGATGCATCCCTTGTGATTGAAAGGGAAATTTTATTAAACAACTATTACACCATCCACACAAATGCCACAACGTTGGACAACTACGAACAACTATCAGGCTCATGGTCAGTGACTTCTCTGGATTGACCCCTCTTACTGATTAATGACCACGCATAACGGAAGAAATATATTCCCTCATCCCAAAATAGTGTTAAAAGTTTTGAGAATTTAACTTTTTAAGTTTATGAGTTTTAGTATTTAATTTTTTTTTGTATTGGTATTGAATGTGTTACTATATTTATTTATAATGGATATGTAAGGATGTGATTTTTACTTTTTATTGGTTCAATGCAAAAGAAAAAAAAAAAAGTAAATTGATAATGTTTAAAAAAAAAAAAAAAAATTAACACTTTAACTTTACAAATGAGACATTCAATTTAGGACAACTAAAAATAAAAAAATTGACAAGTATTTTAGAACAAATATATAATTTACAGGCACGCTTCATCAAGAAGCACATAAATATTTACAAGAGTGAGGCTCGGAACCACATTGGGCCTGGGGCCAAGTATACTCCTCGAGCCCATTCGGCTCCTGGATACTTATGCACAAAACTATTTTAGTGTACTGCCCATCGAGCTTAACATGGTTCTCCAATAAATAAATATATATATATATATATATATATATATATATATATATAGGGCAATAGATTTTCTGGGAATCAAACATTGTAGATTTTACAAAAATAAAAGAATTAATATATATATATATATATATATATATATATATATAAATTTATATTTACTTTAGTATATATAATATTTTAAGTTTATAAAATGTTCTATAAAATTCTCTCTTACCGAAATTCTATCTAACTTTTTTTTTTTTTTTCATTTCTCTTTAACTTTATTGCTTTTTCAAGTTTCTCTTATCCTTTAAAAAAAATTTGCATTCACTTTCTTCAATCAAACACTACTCGTATGTTTTTCTCTCCATTTTTTTTCTTTTATTTCTATTGTAGACACTAAAATTTCATGAATTTTACTGATTAGAAATGACCATATAAGTATTTCATCAGCACAAATTCCACTAAAATATTGAAAAATTTCCCTACACTTCAAAAAAATCACACCACCTTTTTGGATCAAATTTCATCTGCACACCTGTGAACTCTGATATGTGTATTGGTATGGGCATTTACTATGTCAAGATTGGCCTTGGCACTCCAATCAGTTACTGTCCTGTGGTTATCGACACTGGCAGCTCCTTGTCCTGGCTGCAATGCCAGCCTTGCGCCGGCTACTGCCACAAACAGGTTGTCCCCATTTTCGATCCCTCTACATCCAGCACCTACACAAGGTTGTCGTGCACAAGACCCCGGTGCAATTCACTCAAGGAAGCCACTCTAAATGACCCTGCTTGCACTTATTCTAATGAGTGTCTGCTGCTACCTACGGCGACAACTCTTTCTCTAGTGGCTACTTGAGTCAGGATTCACTGACCCTAACCGAACCAGAAACATTGCCTGGTTTTGTGTACGGGTGTGGGCAGGACAATAATGGGACGTTCAGTGGGACTGCTCGTCTTTTCGGCCTCGGTAGTAACAGGCTGTCCATGTTCTCTCAGCTATAAGCAATGGCGTATCCAGCCCAGCCCAAAAATAAATAAATATATTATTAGTATTAGACAACTCAAATAAGGCCAGCTTGTTTAAATCACAATACTAAAATAAAGGCTCAAACTAAATAAGTCCAAGCCAAACAAATCCTAATAAAAAAATTTGCTTTAAAAAATTATGTTATTAAATTTATGTTTAATTTTAGCCCACCCATCAACAATTTCTAGATCCGCCCTTGGCTGTCAGCCAAATATGGAAATGCCTTCTCCTATTGCCTCCCAACAACGGGCGGAGGCAATGGAGGCTCATTGTGTAAACTCTAATTAATTTGTGTTAGACATTAATCACAAATTATCATAAATTCCTAGATCTTTAGAACTTCAATTAATTCACATCCTTATAACGCATAAAAAAATATAGTTAGATATTCATACCTCTATTCATGATATCAAACATTGTTGAGATTAAATTCAATATCAAAATCCTTTAACCACAAACCAATTTGCAACTTTGATCAACAGGTAAATGTAGAAACTGGTTTATCTTTCTTTGTCTTTTGCACACATAAAATTTTCTCATGTTGTATCGTTAATCGTACATAATTAATGAAGTATATGCACTTTTATAAAGGCAGAGAAATGACCAGTTTTCCTTTTAGTAACATAATTCTACTTTCCATCAAAGTAAGAAATAAGAAAATAAAACATTTCTAAACCAGTTTCCGCCTTTGCCTGTTGATCAGAGTTGCAGATTGGTTCGTGGTTAAAGAATCTGGACATTGAATTTAATCTCAACAATGTTTGATATCATGAATAGATGTATGTATATTTAACTATATTTATTTATATGTTATAAGGATGTGAAATTAATTGAAGTTCTAAAAATCTAGAAATTTATGATCATTTGTGATTAATGTCTAACACAAATTAATTAGAGTTTACATGTGGTATCAGAGCTGATTTTTAGGAACTCATTATTTTCCTTTAAAGTCGCATAAATAAAAGTAAAATTAAATTATTGTATAATATATATGTATGTATCCGAATGTGCTGATGTAGTTGATTCCTTTAATAAAGTTTTGTCCACCGTCGATTGACTAATATGCTTTTACATCTTTTATGTAAATTATTGTAAAGGAATTTTGTTTTCATTAGTGCTTCAATTTCTGTACATGATATGAATTGAAAAGTATTTGTTTTGTTTGTTACTTTTTTAATAAAGTCAATCTCTATATCATTTACAGTTTGATGATTATACAGATTATATTTTATTAATTATTTAAAAATTTAATAAATAATTGATTGCACAAAATACGTATATTTATTTATTTTATTAAAAATTTAAATTTCTAGAATAATATGTTAGTTTAGAAATTTAATTTAACTTTAATGGACATGCAAATAATAAATAATTATTTTGTATCCATACATACATAGATGATGGAGAATCAATTTTAAATTGATTCAATTATGATCTTCAAGTCTGAAAATAAAAATAATATATTTTATTATGTATATAAAGTAAAAAGATATTTTTATTAAATTTTTGGACTATTAAATTTCTGGGATTGAATCTACCTATCTAAACTTGGATAGATCGATCAGCATGAGTATGTGTGTATAATGTTAAATGGGTAACTTAATGATGAATATGTCACTAGATAATTTAATATTCATATTATGTGAGGGTTAGTAGCTACCAAAGTGGCCTAACTATGATGATTGATGAATATTAATTATAATAGTAAACATAATTAATGATGAATTAATCTCTATCTAATTTAATATTCATATTATGTAAAGATTGATAGTTACAAAAGTGGCCCAATCATAATGATTGATGAATATTAATTTTTGTACTAGACATAATTAATCATAAATTAGTTACTATCTAATTTAATATTCATATTATGTAAAGGTTGGTAGCTACCAAAGTAGCCTAACCATAATGGTTGATGAATATTAATTTTGGCAGTAAACATAATTGCAATATTTCATGAATTATGATACTTATTATTTTTTGTGATATTCATGAATATTGAATTTATTTAATTATGAGAAATAATTCTCCAAAAGGAATTGATTTTCAAGTGATTAAATGAAAATTAAGGAATTGCATGTATTTTTTAATTAGGTAGATATAGGATATCCAAAGGTAACTTATCTGTTTAATTAAATAATGCATCACCAATGAAGGTATACATATAAATACAAATAAATATCATTATTACTATTTTATAGTTGCCACCCAAATGGGTACTATAGTTATACATTGTATTTATATTTTTAAGTTATATAAACATGTTGTTAATTCAAAGTATTATTGTTGTGAGCATTTTATCTTATTATATTTGTTTTATTATATCTCTTAATGCGCATGCTACATCTGTTCTAATTCTCAATAGGACTAACTTCTCATTATGAAATGAGTAAGTTGAGTTTAAAATTTAGATGTGTTAAATCTTAATTTAGCATTTTAAACTGAAAAACCTACTATTATTACTGATAAAACAGTGAGGGAGAAAAGATTCTCCATAAAGTTTGGGAGAGATCGAGCAGATAAAACATTATGATTATGCGAATAATTGTTCCCCATAATGATAGTGCTAAGGAATATTTGAATAGAAGAATGTTTTCGTATTGTAGATAAATATCTAAAACGAAAATTATTAATTTATATCACTATTATGTAATTTTGTTGGTACTCTTACCATGTATGAGTATGTTCTTAAGATGACTAATGTTGCTATAAAATTGAGGACCTTAGGGATGATTGTGGATGAGAAATTTTTCATTAAATTTATTCTCAATTTCTCGTTTATTCAGTATGAATCATTTCAAATTAACACTATTAAGACAAGTGGAAAGTGATTTAATTGATAATTATATTAATTTAGGAGGAGACAAGACTTAAGTAGTAAGGTAATCATTATG